TCTTGATAAAGAGTCGGTAGATATCAAAAGGAAAATCAAGGAGGCCATCCATATCAGACGTCAACGCCCAACACTGAACAGAGACGGGGGCTATGATCTGCCCGCCATTTTTGACCATCTGTTGTCACGTGATTAAACAATTTGCATTCACGTGACAATGTGAGCTCACTTTAATCGCTGATGAAGACTGTGCGATACAGTCGAAAGCTTCGTTTACAAAAGTTTTTCAGACCTTGTGACAAGAATAATTGTTCGTTTTCTTTTGTCGTAGTTTTGTTTTCATTAGTGTTAAATAACTGTAATTACGTCATGCTGGCTGCTGCCTTGTTTGGATTTTTTGTTGTTGTTCTTGTTGCCTGTTTTGTTGCTGTTTTTATTTTTTTGGCTTTTCTAGCTTTGCCATGTATTTTAACGACAAGTCATCGATTAAGTCCTACCTCAAAGCCGTGCTATTAGTACCGACTTAGACATGCGACTCTTTCTCTCTACACCCAACGAAACAGGAGGGTAACAGCCATCTAATATGGCGGAAGGTCACGTTATCTTGGACTTCTCGTTCAGGGGGCGAGGCGGGCGGGGGAAGGAGGTGGGAAAAAGAGCATGTTGAACGACAGATTGACCGACTAACCGACCGACTGATTGACTGACTGACTGTCTGACTGACTGACTGACTGTCTGACTAACTGACTGACTGACTGACTGTCTGACTAACTGACTGACTGACTGACCGACTGATTGACTGACTGACCGATTGACTGACTGACTGACTGACTGACTTCTTGACTGGCTGACTGTCTGACTAACTGAGTGACTGACTGATTGACTGACTGACCGAGTGACTGACTGACCGAGAGACGGATCGATCTAACTCACTTTATCTCCACAGTTTTCGGAGGAGTTATCCTCGACACCCGCCGATCATTATTTGTTAATAATGGAGCCAGTATTGTCCTGTGGTGTACTGACAGAGATTTACGAACGCTTCAAGGCCAAGTGAGTATAACATGGGTCAAAGACGATGTGCCAATACCGTATAGTGATCCGCGATTGAACACGGTAGCCAATGGCACCTTATCACTCCAGCAAATACGTAAAATAGACGATGGTGAATACACCTGCACTGTTACAGCGGACGGCTTTTTAAGCACAAACACCACGAGGCTTTACGTCAACGGTGAGCTCATACTGTTAGTAACAGTTTTATTAACGTAATCGTATCTATAACAAAATCCTCGATTGTGATTGGTTCTCCGGGCACCTTTTTGTCATGTAATCGGCGCGTGATCATGTGGGTGTCCCATTATAGGCGATTAACTGGCCGTTGTGGAGAGGTTATTTTGGTAGTTAATTTTGCAAAAAAAAAAAACCCTAATAGGTATCAAGATCCTGTTTTGTGGGGGTGGCTTGAAATTTGTTTCACGTCAAGCTACTCAACTTAAAATAACGGCGCGAAAGCTGGATACGAGTCCTTCCTTTTAACCTTTCTAACTCAATAGCATCCTGTGAATGCACATTTCAATTCAGATTTGCCTTGTTCGATGTGGTCACTCTTCATGCGCCTTTGATCTGATTTGTTTTCAAACAGGGAGGGATCCACCAAACAGCGGGACATTAAGCAGTTTTACAATGGAGGCAGTTACGACGAGTGATGTTACTCCAGCCAGCTTCACAACGAGCAGCGTTACATCAAACAGCATTATAACGAGTGGCGTTACTTCAAACAGGATTTCAACGAGCAGCGTTACACCAACCAGCATTATAACGAGTGGCGTTACACCAACCAGTATTATAACGAGTGGCGTTACTTCAACCAGGATTACCACGAGCAGCGTTACACCAACCAGCATTATAACGAATGGCGTTACTTCAACCAGGATTACAACGAATAGCGTTACATCAACAAGGATTACAACGAGCAGCCTTACTTTAACCAGCGCTATAACGAGTGGCGTTACTTCAACCAGCATTACAAAGAATAGCATTACTTCAACCAGGATTACAACGAGCAGCGTGATTCTTGGCAGCATTACGAACACTAGCATAACGCTAAGTAACGCAACACCGAGCAGCGTACTAACGAATACCGTTACATTAGCCAGTCGTCAATTACACGTTAATCAAACAAACTTTTCGTATTCACCGAAACCAACAGAAAAACAGCCAACATCAACAAACATGCTCTCGTCAACTTCAAACAGGATTTCTGATCTACAGGAACAGGTATGAATTATGACTAATTTAATCTTATCGATCTTTTATTTTCTTTGCGTGAGATCATAGTTAATTGAGGGAAGTGGTGTGATTGGAAGTGGAAGCCACCTCAGCCTTATCTAGTTTTCATGTGGGTCTTCTATCGAAGCTGAATTGGAATTTGGAGATGTTGGTTTTTCAGCAGGGAGGAAAACCGGAACACCCGGAGAAAAACCCAGGGAGCAAGGCGAGAACCAACAACAAACTTAACCCACATATGTCACCGGGCCGGAATCGAACTCGGGCAACATTGATGGGAGGCGAGCGCTCTCATCACTGCGCCATCTCTATTCCCCTGCGGTTCACTTGTACGGACTATGATTAGAACCAAAGGAGCAAGTTTGAAAGACGGGAGGTTGAATGGATAAAGAAACAAAACAATGTTGAAAACAGTTCAAAAGGAAGCTCCTACACTTTGTTTCTTTGCTTGCCCAGAGGCGCACCCTACCCTCTTTGACAACGGTGTACATTAACAACGTATAGTAAAACCTCTGTTAAAATCCTGTTTGCAATAATAAAGCTAAGCTCTATTAAAATTCGTACCCAGGTTGCAGCTCTGTGGAACGGCAACCAATCCACCAACGTTAGCACGGTCATTTCAACACTCGTCAACTTGACAAGGCCTGGTAACGAGCTGAGGCTAGACACGCAAGAACTGTCTACCTCCCTGGACGCACTTGCTCTGCTAGTGACGTTCAACTCTGAGCTGAACAACAGTGTTATTAACACATCTGCCGACCAACGGAACATCATACAAGTAGCGAGTAATTTATTGGAGGAAGTTAATTCTAATACATGGCTACAACTTCAGAAGGTATTGCCATTTTACTCTTGCATAAACGTTTAATAGAACGTCTTTTTTTAAATTCTGTGCTAGTCCCCGAGATTCAATCGAGACCGTAGATTTGAACTTCCGGCCCTATACGGAAATGTTTTGGCACCTGACTTGGCTCACCCAAGCTCACGTGACAAATAGATTCCCGCCATATTCACTTGAGAAAGAAGCTGCGACAGCGTCGAAAGCTTGTGATCGCTAAAACATTGACTCGGCTTCGGCATCTTCTTTCTTATTGTCTTCTGCAGAGTGTGGAAACAATATCTTTACTCGATATTATTAAGAGCTTTTGGTTCAAATCTCGTTTATTATGTTATAATTCTTGTCCTGACTTGCGGGAATGTGTAAACTTGAGGCGACTCTATCGATAAAATGAGTATTAAAGTATTCTAAAACTTGATCCACTTATCGACACTTAGTAATTACGTTGTCAGTTAGGCTCGATTACCAGCCGCTGTTCGGGAAAGGAGCCCGCGCTCCTGAGTATCACAAAAACATGCATCCATACATGTATCCCAAGAGTACACGTATCCAATTTGAATTTGTACATTCAAAGGGAGAGTCACCTTACTGGTTAAGGTGAAAACGATTATCATAATTTTTCTGTCGAAAGTAGCTTCAAGGATATCGTGTTGCATGCGTGCACGGCTCGTTCACGCTGTTAGGACGCAAAAAATTATGTGCAGAAAGGATGCGCAGTGCAGTTTAACGAAATCATCTTAACCCTTTGAATACCAACTACGCATATATGTGTGATTAATGGTCGTGCTCTTTGTACCACTTGTGACGTCATCAATTTAAATGTCATCAGATATTCTTGATGAGCAGATAGTAGTATTAGGCTAGGCCTTTCCGTACAATGGTCAGGTTTAGATATCGACGACATTCCGACGTCGCAAATCGAAAAACAACGTTATCAGTTTTGGTGCAAAAACGGTGGTAAAATGGTCCACTACGCCTATGATTGATCAAGGTCCATTTCTAGGCTTCGCCCGTAATAAACATCCAACTTTTCACGGCAGCCAGAAAGAACATACAACGCAAAAGGTAGCCAGTGTAAAACGGCTGAGAAAAACAGAAAGGAAAGGGACAACAAACAAAATTGACTGAACGGTTAATGGCAAAAAAAAAAAAAAAAAAAAAAACAAACAGAACTATATGTTTTAATATTCAGTTGTCTGCGAAAGTAACAGGTGAATGTCGCCCGTCGTTCAAATCGCAACAGTTTTGGCAATTCTTAGACCTTTTTGAAAAAAATTTCGGTGTTTTTGTAGACTTCCAATGGGTTGAAACTTTATTTTGCCATGAGTTTAGCGGTATTTTAACGTGTCTCAAACCAAAACTATTCAAGCTGATATTTATTGGCTTTCCCAGCATAAAAACAGCGGCCCAAATCATGCACCAGACAAAATAAATATTTGGTCGCCTCAATTCGTCTACAATTTATTTGCTCATTTGTTATGATCAACAGGCATAACTAACAACCTTCTTTTAAAAACAACCGTTACCTAATTCAGTGTCTGTGACATCTTAAAATACTGACAAATTAAAATTACCAACAGAGACGAAGAAGGCTAAAAGATATCGAATATACGTTCGCACAAGATCTTGGAAAACTCCGAGAATAGAGTGTTTATCGAGCGCCAAATGACACCGTTCAATGAAAGACCCTTTGACCTCGCAAACAGAAAATGACGCCACACAGTCGCTCCTTTTATGGACAGTAATATCAGCATGGTATATCAGTTTCAGGTAGAGCTCCCATGGACGGCGATCAACGTTCAAACTCGTCACGTAACAAAAAGATCGCGCGCTTGAACAAAATCTAGCAGAGTTTCTCAATGTTCCACAATGGACACGGATGCTTGGCAAGTTGGTTTTCTGTTCACAGAAAACCGAGAAAATGTTGCAAACCGTGGGCAGGTTTCAGTTTAACGAACATTTAGATAACAAAACAGAACAAAGCTATGATCACCAGAGCGAACGAAAATCGCTTATTAACAACGGCCACGCTTCTAGAATTCAGTTCTTTTTTCGACTATCTTTAACACAGGTAAGGTGAAAAGTACAATGTTTCAAGTACGTTTTGTCAAGAGTGAAACCATGAAAGAGAAGGAGAGTGAAATTGAGGGACAGTCTACAAAACACCAAGTGATTATTGATCAAACAACTCACGGCTGGATGGTCTTCGCCCAATGTTTTTTCACGGATCGTCAGCGCGTCATGTAGCAAGTTAGCAGCCTCTTTATACTTATTCTGATCTCTGTGGAAACAGGTAAGGTAGAGCACAAATGTTAGCGCACTTTTCAACTTGGCGTTTACATAAGAAATCCTACAAATTTTGACACAGCAACGCTGTGTCGACACCGGCTTTCAGCGAACATCTGTTTCTCGATTTCAACGAAACAGAAACGATTTAAAATTTCTGTTTCTCTCGGAAATAACACGCCATAGCACAGATCGAGATATTACCTTTGTAATCCTTAAATCACATTTACATCCGTAAAATATTTGAAGGAAAACTTTCTCATATGACTTTCCACGCGTCTACTCCAAAGGAAATTCGATACAAAATGATTTTCACCATAAGTTAATTTTTAAAAGCGCATTCATTGCACCAAATGGAAATAACAAGCTAATAAATATTTTAATTTTGAGAATGCAATTTTGAAAAAGCTTAATCCATAATACCGATGCAAACAAAAACAGCTTTTAAAAAACCAATTAAACATTTGTATAGTTTCAAATACTACCCCCCTCCCCCCCTGTAGTAAATAATTTGGAAAACAGATTACACAGCTATTTTCCGGCGTAAATGATGCGACGTTTCGTTGCAGCTTATGCTCGCTATACATCGCAAAAATTATCACAACACGTTATTTATTTCTTTTTCAAATGGCGAATTAGCATTAGAGAAACAGAGCAGAACACAGTCCATCGAACAATCCCATTTAAAAAAGGCAGACTTCTTGTCTGGCCTTAAATGCATGACGAAAATTCTAGGCGATAAACCCCGATTTAAGCAACTTATCTACCCCCAGAACAGTCTGTTTACTAACTTATTTACAGCCTTTGAATAATAGCTCACGCTTCAACGAATGAAGCAAGTATAAATATTAAGTGTTTGGCGTGAAGTTGACAAAACAATAACCCCACACAAAGACCCTCAATTATATATTCAAACGTTCTTTTTCAAACACAATTGAATAACGGTTCCCTTGTACAAGACTAGTTTCTGCCAAGACTTGCGAGCGACCAAAGAGAAACACGAACAATTGTTCGTCAAAATTGAATAGTTTGCGTTTCAGCTTCGCGTTTTTGCTCAATAGTCGGTTAGATAGAGTTTTGTGTTTATTTAGGTATGAATTTCTAACCTCTTGACCCAAGTTTGACGACAAACAAGTCCTATGGCGCGAATAGCGATAAGAAACAGGATAACAGAAGGGGAGAAAGGTAAGTATAAATCAATCTTTCACGGTGTATACTACAAGCTTGTTGCCTTCAGTCAACTCTTAGAATTCAGCTTCGACAGAAAAATAATTTGTGATCGGTCACCATGTTCAGTAGGTCTTGAAATAATGAATAAATCTTCAGAATTCGAGAGTAACATAAAGGCCATTCATAGAAACGAAGCAAACATTTCGAAAATGTCGGGAAGTTTAACTGTGTTGTATAACTTGCAACTGTAGTTTATAATTTCACGTCACACACCAGACTTGACAAGAGACAACCCTGACTTCCTGCAGGCTAAAGTTTGCATGCTCCTTTTTGTGAAGTATTGGTATGCCAAAAATTCCTAACTTCCTATTTACAAGACAAATATTTCGCAATTTGCCTTCCGAGAGTTTCGCGTATCCTGTTTATGTGGCACGCGTGTGTCATTTGTCAACAAAACTTGTGATGGTTTGGTTTTCAGTTGGTTTCGATATCCTCTAAATTAAGTTTCAATTTCACGAGGGAGCTCAGTGTCTTACATAATTAAGACTAATTATAATTTCTAACTAATTGAAATAACTGAACTGTTCACCTAATTATTCTAAAGGTATTAGGAGAGAAATCACATTGTCTGCAGATGAATTAGTTTTAGTTTAGACGGAGTGTTGCAGAGGCATATCAAAGATTGGCATCCACTTTACAAACTATTCTTTAACAAAGAACACTGCTACAGAAAGTTGTATTTAGCGGCGTCGAAAACAAAGAAATAACACAGAGTTTTTGACATATTTTGCCCGCAGACATCCCAAATAACACGCCCAAGTCTCGATTTTTCTTAATGACACAAGCTTTGACACGAGTATAATTCGAGGACAGTCACCATGTTTGTCTTAATTCCCCAGGGAATAGGTTTCTGTCATTCACTGAACCAAAATGCGAGTTTCAATACTTTTCGAAAAAAAAAAATATATATACTAATTCATAATTCATATTCTCATTTATTTTGATAATTCTCGGTTTCAATAACATTCAGAGAGACGTTTGTGAAGCGCGAATTTTACTCAATGTGACCTGGCGAGGCAGCATTCTCAATTGAAGAATGTCTTTGATTGAAGGAGCTCTTTTCTAATGTTTCTAGCTGTGAAGAGCATTTTCGTCCAAGCTGAGTTTCAAAAAGCTTTTAAAAATTGTGAAGTTTGCATTCTGGTTTTATCCTACTCGCAACGAGATCTATTTAACATTCCTCGTTGTTGTTGTTATTTTAATAAACAAACTCCAAATTGTAATGTGTTAAGCAAAAAACGTCATTTTCTTCAAACTTAAAATTTTCCTCAATCTTTCAGAGGCTTCATTTCCTTATATTTT